AGAATAATCGTCTACCATCATGAATATAACATAGTTAAAATTTGTGTATTTTAACCTGTAAAGCGTAAGCCGTACTTAATGTCAACCGCATAAATTAAAAAAGTCCACAGTTATTTTTTTTTTTTGGGGTTGATATGTTCTTGGTGTGTTGAGACGATCGAGGGTGTCCTCTGTTTCCTAAAGCCGCACTAGAGGCTGGGAAGTGTTAAACACGTTGGAGGAAAAGTCGCTCACAAGGAAAAGGAAAGAAGCTAAGGAAGAAAACAAATAACATCGCACAGAAAGTAAGAAAATTAAGACAAATAAGCAAAAGACCTGCAATATTGCATTATTGGACATGTCTCTGTGAAACCTATACTCCCTCGTTCCTTTTTTACAAGACCAACAATCACCTATGGCTTATTTTTATTTACGAGGGATACTTGGATGTCTCAAATTTTATCTTTAGCAGTTTCTCATTTTGGCTCCGCTTAATTTCTCATTTTTAGTATTAATACTGGAAATATACTCGCATTCTGTTTTCTTTACACATTGTCCTTCTTTTACTATGTTTTCCATTTTAATAATTTTCTTATTTTGTCTCTTATTATATCTCCCTCTCTTTGTAACTAGGGATATTTTTAAAGAAAAATTATAATTATTACATATTTATTTTTTTAATTAATTTTAACCCATTTTTTATCAACATCATTTAGTGACATATATCTTATTAAAAAAAAAAAAAAGAGGAAGCAGCAATTCAAAAGAAGCAACTCTTACCCTATATTTGGTATGAGGAATATGGAAGGAAAGGGTGGAGAGGAAAAATTTTCATAAGCTTAATTTAAAAAATTGAAAAGTGGGGTTATAAAATTTAAATAAAAGATGTAAAACAAAAAAATTAATTTAAAACTTCTAACCCCGGCCACCGCATCAATCTTTTCTCTTTTCCCTTACTTTTGCTTTTCCTTATCTCAAACGGATGCTTAAGCAATCCTGAAACGCACGCTAAGCACATGAAACTTGAATTGAGAAAAACTTCATCCACGGCACAAGCAAAGCTGGAGCGAATTATCAAAAGAGCAAAAGAAGGAGACAGGTTGCTCAGATACACTCCCTAAAGTGTTCACCCTATTACCATAGCAGAATAACGTTTATTCTAAAAACGAGTTAACGTCATGGTTGCTTTTTATAGTTTGATCGAATTTTGCTTTTAGTTCACATAGTTTCAAATCTTAGTTTTTAGTTCAGATGATTTCACAAGAATTTGGTCTGAGTTAACATTGTTAAGCATAAACGAAAACCAAATCGGATTAAAAGTACAGTGACTCAAACCAAAACTTAGTAAACTTAGTCTAAATTCTTACGAAACTAATAATTACCATTTTTTTCCCAGAGTTTTTCCTTCTTGTATTCTTTGCATCCGAACTAAGAACTAAACGCGCCGACACTGCAGCCCTTTTTTCCTTCTTCAGCGCATCGTGCGTTGAAGCAATCCAGTTTCTTCTTCCTGAAACCTCCAACCTGCCTTTTGCATTGATCTCCAGTCAATATCAATAATATACTATTGGAAACACTAAGAATCATATTAACAGAGTTGATTAGAAGAAACGCGTATGAAGTCCGTAAAATATATTTCTTAATAAATACCTTGCCTTGATTATAATTCATTTAAGAATTTTAAAGTACTTTCTTCAAGCCCATCATTTTAAATTGTTTTCCTTAGAAAAACACTATAACTTCATGTACTACTATTGAAATTATGTTTTGTTGCACATGCCAACTATAACTGCTATCCGAAATTCTGAACACTATTTGATTTATCCGTGCTTCGTGTGGGAGGAAAAATCTAGCGTAGCACGTTCTTCTTGGGGACCAAAATCTAGTTCAGTAAATAATTCTAAATCTAATCTTTTTATTAGATTACGATCTGAGGGAGTTTGATTTTGAATAAGATCATATAGCAATAATTTTGACTATCTTTATGATTTTTTTTGGTGAACGATTATATTTGTAAATTGTGGAGTAATAATTTTGGCATATATCAATAGTAACTTAATAATATTAATATTTTAACGTTTTTGGTACTCCTTCAGTTTTTAATATGCAACGATGGCTACTGATGTTAAACGTGAAACATTAAAAAGGAAAAAGGGCACACAAAAAAAAAAAAGAGGACCTCGGACTTTTCAAAATGTGGTCTTTATCGTATTTGCTTCTCATCATTCCGCCACAAAAAAGAAAAAGAGAGAAGTTGGAGATGCTGCTCATTAATTGCAGCTTTCTTTACTATGACATGCACCCCCTGGAAAAAATAAGAGCAACTTGAAGATCTTTTTCTGGTGTAAGCAAAGACTTTATTCAGAGTAGTACATATTCTTTGTATTTATGACGTTTAATTTAAAGCAAAGACTTGAGGTAGAAGAAGAGTGATTTACAAACTCCTGCTTTTCCAACCAAAGATGATAAAAGAATCAGAGGGGACAGAGGATATGCCTTATACTGATCAGTAATTAAAATAAGCCACTTTATTCTCTTCTTTATTCCTAATCTATGCAGAAGCAATGATTCAGCGTGAGATGAGGAAGAGTTTGTTTAAGTTGTTTGTTTCTTTTTCTCTTTTTTGTACAGTTTATTGGACGTTGGATATGACGTGACATAGCTATGTAAATGATGTGATTGTGAATGAGGTAATCTTCATTAATTATATAAGATTCAAATCAAATCTTATAGATCTGTTTGACAAAAGGACTGATAGTACTGAAAACATCAGAGAGAATGGAAATGAAACTATAAACCGTGGAATCCAACTTACACTTGGATTATAATCAATTTTTGAGTTGAATAGTGAAAGTACATTATTCGGATGCATTGAGAGTTATACGTTTAGGATGTAATGGAATAGGACGGTCATTAATTAATAAAATAGAACGGTCATTAATTAATAAAATAGTAACAGAACACAACAGTATGGTATGAAGCCGTATGGAATGGAATATAGATAACTTTCCATTGGTTAATTGGGAGTTTTATGAGGGGAAGGAATTGTATCATATGACCGTTGTTTGAGAATTATTATAAAATAAGTGCGACGGGAATGGATTAAAACTAGAGTTGTGAGAAAAAAAGTACCTGAATGAATTTTTTTTTTGGATATAAGTTGGAGTATCCTCAAATTATTTTAGACCTGAGAGTAATTTTGGTCGAATTTGGAGTGTTAAGGTTAAATCCTCCCAACAAGAACACTTCTCATCTTAATCAATAACTTGTTGGTATACATAATTGAATTTTTATTTTGTTATCTTGCTCATTCTACGTAACCATTTGGTAAAAATATATCCTCATCTAACAACAACAAATAATAACATTTCGTTTGTAAAATCCATAAACTGTTGCCTTTCCATTTAGCTCACAAGTTTAAGAACGCTTAAGGACTCGTTCCTATCATATCATGACACCTAGTACTGCCGAGGCACATTCCTTAGCTCATCTCCTGCTCGATCTCTCTTTTTTCTTATAATTTGAAAAATTATTTGATTTCTTTTGCAATGTTTTTGGTATCATATCATATCATTTTATTTATAATATGATGTTTTTTTTTTGTTCGGCATGTGTTCGGATTGGGTTTTCACAAAAAGAATAAAATTTATTTATTGGAATGAAAAAGGAACAAGAATGGGATGCAGGAAGCGAGAGGAGCAGCATTATATGGCGCGCGGGAGAGTGACTATTAATAACAAGTGGGGGATAGATGATAGATTGGGGTAATTGGTGATAATTTTCTAATTGATAATTGGAATTTCGAGAAATAATACTGAGCAACCCTGAAATAAAAAAAGAGAAAGGTTGAGTTTGAGCTCTTAAATGATATGTAAGGGTATGTTTGTTGAAGTAATAATCATGGTAATACTCTAGATATAGGATACCTCTTATCCTTAATATAAGAGCTAATTGGAGATTAAATTTGATCCCAAATATAAGACCTTAATCCACTTTGTTTCTTAAATTTATATCTAAAATATTCCTATTAATTGTAAGGAGTTCATACCAAGGAATAATTCCAATACATATAATTAAATAAAGTAATTTAGGAAAGTCAACACATTTGTTACAATCAACCAACTTAACTAATTTTTTTGAATTTCTTTAAATTAGTTATTCAACTTTTATATTAAGAGCCAAAGGTAATATGTATAAGAGCAATGGAAGGAAATAATTTTTTTTTAATCTGGGCATAAATGAAATTGGGAGAATTGCAATAAAGTTTTAAAGAAAAAAATAATTACTAAAAAAATTCATAATGACAATTGAGCATATTGTAATGACAAATTTTAGAGTAAAAAATGACAACTTCTAACTTGTTATTAGAAATTTTTTATGGTTAATTTATTTCTTTCGAACCTCATTGTAATTCTCCCAATAAAATTCTGTGTTGGTAGGAGGGATGAGGAATAAGAATTTTCAATGTTAAAAAAAGAAAAGAAAACAACCATGGACTTTTCAAAATGTGGTCTTCAGATATGCTATATTATATTATTGCAGCTTTCTTTTTTTCCGGCACATTATTAGTTAGACATTAGTATCAGGGTACTATCACTATATACCTCTAAGGTCCTGTTTGGTAGAAAATATTAAAAATTAGAGATAGAGAATGCGATTGGTATTAAAAAATCTATTAAAAGAGTATTTAGCATAAGAGATTGCTTGTTACGTGATATTAGACAAATCCATCCATATGGGATTGGACAATACCATGGTGAGAAGTAGTATTCTCCAATCCTACCTCTATGGGTTTGTCTAATCCCATGTAATAAGTGATTACTCATGCTAAATATTATTTTAATATTTTAATTTTTTTAATTGCAATCTTAATCCCTATTCCTCATTTTTTAATACTTTGTATCAAACAGAAGCTTAAGTTAAAGACTTGAGGAAGAAGACTGATTTGCGAACTCCCTGCCGGCTTTTCACAAAGATGATAAAAGAGAAGTGCCAAATAGTAATTTCTTGCCCATCGTAGAAACATGCTTTCCTTTCCTAGCTCCTCGGTGGCCACCGGAGAAATCAAACTGGTCATTGAACATGTGGTTGAATCAAATTGGAGTCAATTCAAGATAAGACTATTTATCATTATATAATATCATTCAAATAAAACATACAATAATATTTATCCATAACCCACAGAACCATAATTACCAAAAGACATCAATATATGATAAACTGCTACTTTATTTTAACTTAAAGCAATCTCATTTCAGATTAAGCAAGAATACAAAAACAAATATAAAATCTAATCAGGGTAAAATATGTAAATTTGTTCTAAAAGTTTTTATTTACGAGTGATGGGCACCTAAATGGTTTTTGTTGTGCAAACTTACTCCGAAAATTTAAAAATCATATCAATGTTACTTTCTTATAATCAAAAATTTGACGTTTACTGTTAATATTTTTAGCGGTGGGAGCAACATTGTTATAATATTAAACTTGTGAAGTAAATTTGCAGCGAAAAAAAAAAATCTGAGCGCCCAACACTTCTAAATAGAAAATTTTCAGTAAATTTGCACCTTTACCCAGTCTAATCTAACTACTCAACAATCCATCCAAAGCTCTTGACGTCATGGCCTGCTGAAGACAGGTTCACTGGTTTGATTTACTAGCGGACGGCTGGGATTGGGTCTCAATATCCGGAGGAAATGCGCTTTCCCTGTAACCTGAAGGTGGTAGATGAATCAGTCTATCCTTTCCACCGAATTTTCGAGCCACGGTTTTTCTGCGGCTGGTTGCAATGGCAGCACCGCCCTTCATTTTCTTCAATCTGCCTAAGAAATGATCAGCAAACCAATCACTACAGTGCCACATGTCATCCAACACTAAAATATAATTCTCGGAGTTCCGTAATTGACGCACTAGTTCCTCCATGAGCCCGTCCTTATTTTCATCGAAACTGCCCACCACGCTATCAGTATCTAAGCCCAAACGATACAGCAGATATTCAACAACCCTGACATCTATCTCTTCCTCGCAGGTTATAAAATCCGAGAGGGGAGCCCAAATGATACGCTTGAATTTGTCTGTAACGGCTTTTTGTTCCAAAACGTTTTTAACAAGCGCCGTCTTGCCCGAACCACTCATCCCACAAATCCCGACGGCCGTGAAGTCATCCCCCGGCGTCAAGAGCCAACCAACCATTTTCTCCTCGAGTTTATTGGAGGACTTGTCGACCTCGATAGAACTAGTTCGAGTTGGTGAGTCGGTTGGACTATGATCATCAGCCGGCCGAAAATTTCGTTGGTTCGATTGGACGGAGATCGAAGAATCTTCCTGGCGGTTTATCGATGTTTCGATGTCGTTGAGTCTACCGTTGATAGCTGAGCGCTCTCTGAAGCGAGCCACACGATCATGGCAGAAGAAAATCCTCCTGATCGACTTGTTCTGCTCCTTGAGGATCCCCCACTCGGTGAGGGCGTCGTTCAGATCGGAAAGACATGAAATCTTTTCAGGGATGCTTAACGCTGTACTTTTAGACTTCAACTCCTTACTGATGGCTTTGAACCTGGCAAAGATTGCATCCGAAGATTGTGAATCGTCTTCATCGATGGAATCTGTGTATTGTTTCATCAGAAATTTGGCTACCTCGGATGCCATGTGGACCAGAGTAAAGAACTGGGCGGTTTCCAGACGAAGAAGCTTGTATATATGAAGCTATAAACCAACATGGGAAATAAAGAACTATGTTGATCCATCCCATTATCACTTTATCAGTAGTTGATCGTTTAATTGATGTCATTATTAGTTGTTTAATAAATTGCACTTTCGAGATTAACAATGCAGCAGTTTGTGTGTTAGATCAATCGTGTAATATATGAAAAATAAATTTAGATTTTGTATAAATAAAAAAAATTGAGAGATACTCATACACATGTAAACTTTATATATATATATATATTCAACAGTTTAACACTAGATAATGAATGATATAAAAAAATTAAATTTTAAATAAGTGGTACAAAAATAATACCAAGGATATTATCTATTCATGTTAATCAAACCGAATTAAAAAAGAAAAGTTATATTTCCTATTCGCTGGTCAAAAAAAGTTATATTTTCTATTCATCATCGTCTCCCACAAATTAGACGTACATTCAAATCGTACGTGCTTGTCACCTTTCGTATTCCTTTTCTTTTAATTATTGAAATCCTTACTATTCCAATTTAAATTAAAAATTTAATATAAAGGGTTCCAACAAGAAGGACGGGAGGCAAGTAGGCTTCATGCTCATGCCCAGGCCCCAACCTTGTATCAGACAAGGTTTCCATCTCTTACACCCTGAAGGGCTTGTTTGGAGCTCCGTTCAAAACGGGCTTTTAAGCAAGTTCACGTAAGTCGAGACAAAACTCTCCTCACATACTTACCTCGTATTCTGTAAATCACGTTTGAAAAGCTACTTATAAATCAATCCAAACAAACCCGAACATGTCGTCGTTCCCAACAAACTCAGAGAAAAATGTTCACGCGCGAGAACTGCTTGGTCAAATCAAGAAGACCATCGAAGAAACCTTTGAAGATGTTTCATCGGCCAAAGATGTCAGGAAGACGATCGACCATTTGATTAGTCGTTTCCCACTAGACCAACAGAGAGAACGGGAACTGGGACCCCGATTCTTGAAGCTGCACGATCTCCTCCTCTGCAAAAATACTGTGCCCTCTCATCGTTTCCGTGATATCCGTGATGAGATCGCTGAAATAAACAAATTCCTGGCCAAAGTTGACGCTAAGGTCGATCAGGACGATTTCCAAGCTTTATCTGAAGACGAACAGAGGATGATACGCGAAGCAGACAAGCATCCGCTCGTGAAACGTCTTCGGGTGAGTTATGAATTTTCCCTCCGACAACTTAAGCGCGACCCGAGAATTTGCTTGTTTTTGGCAATTTTCCCAGGAAATGCTATTCTAAGGAAAAGGTTTCTTATTTATTGGTGGATTGGGGAAGGGTTGGTCGGGGACGAGGAAGAAGGCGAAAGAGTATTTGAAGAGCTTTTGGATCTTGAATTGCTCATACCCTATCATACTGACCAGTGCCCAAGAGTGAGTAAGTGTAAAATTTTCCCTTGGATCCGTTACATGTTGATCTTAGAGGCCAAGAAAGAGAAGCTTTTGAACTCAGACTCCGGGATACCACGTTTTGATCCTACCCATTCTCGGCGTACTTGTTTGATCGCTTATCCCACTAATTTGTCTGGTGGAAGCGAACCCATACCTAATAAGACCGCGAGGACCATTTTTAACGTAAACGAGAGAGATCTTGATTTTCGGCAGCAACAGCTTGCTGAGCTGGAGAGATTGGTGGTGCTTCAGCTAGGCCGTTGGCAGGCTTCTCCCACCCATTACATTGAAGTTCGAGATGAATGGTTCCTAACAGGTTTGAAGACCCAGAAACTTCTCAAGTATCTCAGCCTGCGTGGGATTTCAGGAATTACTAAACTTCCTGAGTCCATCAGAGAACTGGTCAGCCTCGAAATTCTGGACCTCAAGGCCTGTCATAATCTAGAAACCTTGCCTGATGCGGTTGCATCGTTGGAAAAGCTCACACATTTGGATGTATCAAAATGTTACTTGCTGAAAAGCTTGCCAAAGGGACTCCACAAGCTCACATTGCTCCAAGTGCTCAAGGGATTCATAATAGGCAATTCTCAGAAGACTATCATTAGATTAGAGCATCTTCCAAATCTGAAGACTCTGAAGCGATTGAGCATATTTATAGGGAGTAAGGCTACCATCCAGGAAGGTGAATTCGACAAGTTGAAGGATTTACCATATGTCAAGCGTCTGAAAATATCCTGGGGCAAAAAAGCCTTTTTACAGTCTGTGTCTTTTCCGCCAGGGCTACAAAAACTGGATCTTGAAGGCATTCCTCACGACAGTAAGCCAGAATGGCTAAAGCCCAGCAAACTGATGAATCTGGAGACGCTACACATTAAGGGAGGATGGCTCAGGAATTTATTACATGAGGAAGAGCAGTGGGATAATGTGAAATATTTGGTGCTCAAGTATACTAGGATGCCGCCAATTAATCGAGAAACTCTGAGGTCAAAGTTTCCTTCTCTCCAATACGTGAAGAAGGTTGAGTTGGGAGAGAATGTCACGCAAGAAGTTGTCGAGTATGAATGGAACAATGTGGGGACTGTGACAGATTGAGTTTCAAATCAATTTCCGCTTCCAAATTGTGAAATAAAAGAACATTTGCTGCAAATAATTGTTTTGGGACTTGAATATCATTTTTTTTTTTTTTACAAACATATCCTTGGAATGAAGCTCCAGACATGTAAAAGCTAATTTGACATTTAATTTTGTTGTAAAGGAGTGTTTGAGTAAAATGTAAACTATGGTTTTAAAAATAATTTTTACAATATACAAAATAAATATGTGAAGAAGTTTGTTTCGATGTACGAAAAAACACTTTTTAAAAGCACTTTTATCACTTGCCAAATATCTCATAAATATAAAATCTCAATTCACTTTGTCTCTCATATTTATTTATTTTTTTAAGATAATATTTATAATAGTTGCATATTTTAAAGGTTCCATTAAATAGTAATTCTAGCTAATACAAATAATTAACAAGAGTATTTTAAGAAAAATAATATTTATTTATTACAAATAACTAACTCAACTAATTTTTTTAATCTATTCATATTAGTTAATTAGTTTTTATGTTAAGAACGTGAGGCAATATTATGAAAGTTTTTGGTCCTTCTCAACAAAAACAAATAATGTATGAAATTAAATCGAGGAAGCGTAGTTGACTAGTTTCTAAACGATTGTGCCCTTATGAAATTTTTTTGATATAGTGAGTAATAGTTCTGTTTATTTGCTTTTCAAGAATTTTCGTTCAAGTAGCTCATATCATTTATAAATAATGTTTTGATATAAGATTTCAATTCTTTCATATTTTCACAGTAGCATATTGTACCATGAAATTAACGTCCAATATATGGAACTTGCATATCTGCAATTTTCAGGTAAAAAAAAAAGTATCTGCAATTTTGCTTAAATGTTTAGTGCAACTTGTAAATCTTTTAGATCCCAGTGTTAAAATACTGGAAGTATAGGCTGTAAATATTTGTAATTACAGAGTAAAGTATCTGCAATTTTACTTTACTCCGTAATTTGATTGTGTTAACTTTTTATTTGACTTTATTTTTCATGGTATTACTTGAAAAAAGTGAGTTAAAAGTAAATAAGAAAATTATTGTTATTATAAATGTCAGCATCTTCTCTTATCTCCTTCTCCACCCCTACAACAGGGATAATATTATCTCTTCGCTTTTCTCCTCCCTCTCCATTTTCTCTTCCCCTAATTTCTACTCCCCTTAAGCACGACTCATGTTTGAAATTCAAGAATTTTCTTTGATGTTAATCTGATATTCATTGCCGAACATCACGTAGAAATTAAAATCTTAAAAACATGCATCAGTAAAAAGTTTTAAATCTCAGTGGATATTCAAGATGATTGTACAAGTGAGATCCCATTAATGGATTGTTCAGACCCTTTTTAAGATTCGTCAATCGAATTGGATGTTACCACTCCACGCCTGCTACGATTTTGACTGCCTATGACAAGAGTTTTGGTACGAATCACGTTATAGAAGGATGCGTGCATATATTACACGTTGCAACCGACAGCATTATTTATATTCAGTGGATTTTTCGTCTACAGCTCCATGTAAACATTCTCAGCCTAAACTACCAGCAGCCGAAATTTCCAAAACTACTGAATTGGGAATGAAACAGTACAGTTCTATGGGGAGCCTTGATCGGACTTGCTTTAGCAGGCTTGTAAATCCAATCTAATATTTGTGAATTTCCTTCTTCCCAGTGTATGCTTCACTTCGCATTCGTGTTTATTTTCTCCACACGCACCTTTTAGGCTATCTTGCATGTTGATTCATACAAGACTAATGGCTGGTTGCTAGAGCAGTAACCAGGAGACCAAGGACAAGGAATGGCTGTGCACTAGCCTGAAAACGTAATGGAAACCGCTTCAATCATGTGCGTGAAAATATGGAGCCAGTTGAGAGAGAGAGAGAGAGAGAGAGAGAGAGAGAGAGAGAGAGAGAGAGATGAAAAATGGAAGAGATGAACACGAAACGAGAGAATGAAATGAACTGCATCTAATATTTACTTTCCTTATCCAGAATGAGTAAATATGTATTAGCGGGGAAGTATTGTATACATGCATATATGCGTGTGTATACTTGCCTGGAAAAAGAGAAAACTTGAAAAGAAGTCATGTCAATAAAATCAATATTAAGATCTTGTTTTTCTCTTTTTGAGCAGACAACATTAAGATCTTATAGTTATTCATTTATCGTTATTTAACAAAAAATGGAAGGATAGGTGAATTTGAAGACCAACAATGGCTTCAGGTTTCACAATTCATTTCCTCAACAACAAAGTTGGAAGGATTCTCTACGATTTTGTTTGTTGAAAGAACGCCACATTCTATGGCTGAAACTGCAGGCTTGGTTCTTAGAAGTTCAATAGTGAATACGTACCTGATATTTAACATAATACATTACAGGGTCATTGAGGAAGTACTGAAACTGCAAGGCATAAGAACCAATAAGATGCCAACATAAATTTGGCTGAATGGGACAACATAATTCTTCAGCTATTTTACATTAGACAATTTTCTTTTCTCAGTCCGTAGTGGATATTTAAAATAATACCTCCGGTCTTTAATATAGAAGCTAATTGACTAATTTAAATAAATTAAAAAAGTATGTTAAGTTAGTTATTATAATAAATAGGTGTTGTCTTTTCTAGAATACTTTTGTTAATCGTGTATATTAGCTAGAACTACTATTTAATAGAATCTTTAATATCTGTAACTATTACAAAGACTACTATGAAAAAAATAGATAAATTTGAGAAATAAAGTGGATTATGATCTTATATTTAAAACTAAATTAAAAGTCGAACTAGTTCTTGTATTAAGGACAGGGATAATATAAATTATGCAAAGAAAACCCTTTTAAGGGAATTTTCAAGACAAGTGAGTTTTCATGTACTCAGCAAAGTGGCCACATGTACCGCGCCCCACCCAAGGAAAGAGAAATGCTCTCACTTTGATTATGCTTTACCTGAAAAATGACTTGCGGAACTATCAAGGCAAGTAAAGCCAGTGCGTAGTATGGTTTACCTGCTCCAAGAAGATATCCTGGAACAATAAATGCGAATAAACTCCTTGCATAAAAAACAAATCGGACTTTCTATTCTGGCTCATCAGTCTTGATCAACTGAAAATGACCATTTTACCAAAACTTAAAATCAGTATATCATGTTTGGGATCCCAAAAAAAAAAGAAAAAAAAAAAGAAAAAGAAAAAAGAAACAACTCGGTAAATCATCTCAAACGCAAACTGAGACAGAGAAAAGGTGGGCAATGTGCGAGTGTGTGACCGATTATTTGGCTGTCCTCTCGTCACCATTTCAAGAAAACACTACAATCTTGTAATAAAATTTCAGCAGAGGATGAACTCCGCCTGGTGCCCGGGGAGCACACCAGTATATTTATGATAGATAATGCAGTAACAGCCTTGAATCAAGTCTCCAATTTTCATGTTAAACGAAATATTGAATGGCACAAAAGAACAGTATAGTCGTTTCGAAGAAAATATTAGAGAATAAACCGTAAAACTATAGGTATTGGAATAAAATGTACCGGCAACAGATATCTGTGTAATGTCAATGGCACCAACACATATCCATTTAGCAGCTTCAGTGCCAAAGGCAACTGGAAGCGACTGTTGGAAAAATAGAAATATCATGCGGCAGCAATTACTTCAGTTAATGTGTAAGATCAGAAATTCTAGAACCATAAAGATTAGCAATTACAAAAATCAAAAGGTAGGACAATAGAACAACCTGAAGTCCTAGAGCTCTATCCCCTTCAACACTTTTGAAGTGGTTGACAATGGCAATTCCCAACTGACACATACAAGGTAACAATATTACAGAGCTTTTCGAAAAACTTAAACATGAGATAGATACCAGATATAACAAGCTTCTGAGTTACGCCTACTACATACTCCAGCTATGCTGTATAGCAGCGTGAGAACTATGATATCAGGTGTAAGAGTTCCAAACAAACCCTGACCAGCCCACCTATCATTAGGAACTTGGTTACAGAACTTTAGAAACATGGTAAAAGTCCAGACAGTAGACTTTGGATTCAAATTAGACAAAAAGATCAGGTTCCCAATTATTTTGGGTGAATAAAATCTCCCTCAGTTTTACCCAGTTGATTTCTCACAATAAATGCAAGCAAGAAAAATAACTTTCTAGCTCTTCAAGCAGATATTAAGTATTGACACAAGAATCCCCTCTATATTCTTGTATGCATCATACAGATGGAAGTTAGCTACTATGCATGAGGAGCAACTCCCCTGACTAAGACAATGGACGAATATCGAAGGGAAAACTCATGAATCAAGTTAGAAATGCATGTTGATAACCAGCAGAGTACATAAAATGTTACTGCAAAAGAATACAGCGCCATGGTAAACTGATGTAACTTGCTCCAAGAGCAAAGTTTCCAATCCATCCATTTTGCTTTAGCTGCATGTAGAGAAAAGAAGAGTTAAGTCAAATGGAAAAAATAAAAATAAAATAAAAAGAGGAATTTCCTGCAGCAGTGTGAAGTAGGAAGGTTTCATCGAGAAACAAACTTACTTTTTTTACCTGGAGAGAAACAAACTTTGAGAGAAACAATAGTGGTAAAAATAATGAAAATATTTGAAATATTAGAATGAAGTACCTTCAAAGGAGGAGCAGAGTATACATATGACAGCAATGATCCGCCAAGAGCAAGGTAAAAAACTGCAGGGAAATCATGCCCTGCCAATAAGAGCAAGCATTGAAAAACCAAGATTCATTGTAATTTACACTTTGAGGGGGAAAAGAACAAAATATGAAACTGAAGTGCAGAATACAAACCCATATGTCCAACAAGCCAGCCAAGCTAAGGCCTCCTGATAACAGCACCCATATTTGTGTGATAACTTGAAGAATTTTAGGCAATGAAAATCTGAAAAAATCCAACGAGAAAGCATGCGTGAATCCCAGTTAGATAATCAACATACCTCATTCTCAGATATTGCCCCTGATGGAATTGGTCGATAAGGTTCATTGATT